GAGATTTAGAAGAATTATTTTTAATATCATGAATAAGAAAATATACTTGATTGAACTTGATTGACAAAGATTGAATTAATAGTCAATGTCATTTCATTACCTAAAGATAAAAATACTTTCACTTCAAAATAATTATTTTTAATGTTTAAAAATTATATTTCTTTCTTTTGGTATAAGATAAGTATTTTAGAGATGGCATTTCACAAACCTTATTGTTTTTTGAATTGATAAGTAATCTTGAAATCAAATTTTAATAAAAAAATGCTCTAATAGGCTTGGCAATGATTTAAAATACGTGCTGACATAAAATATTCGAGATTCTTATAATTTTTATATATAATAATTAGACTTAAGGCATATTTAGATAATGAAACTATTTTTAAAATAAATTCATAATTGCAAAAAGATCTTTATTGTGGATCTTGTAACTAATCTTGACTATTGATAATTTCTTGGAATAGAAATCTATTAGGTAGAACTTTTCATCTATTTTTATTTGTTACAAAATTGTGTCCATAATAAAGTTTGTTGCATTTGTTTTAAAAAAAATGCCTTAAAAATTGACACAATACAAGATTAGTATAAAAAAAAATTGTTGACTTGAAGACTTCAAAAGATATTTCAACTTCTTTACTCCACTCAAGTTTGCATTTAAATATGAGATATGTAAAAAGAGCCACAACTTGAAAAAAGTTTTTGATGAAAATTTGATAATAATTCACAAATCCTAAAAAATATTATGCATCTTTAATTATTTTTTATATCTTTCAATCTATGATATTCTAGACCTTCTTAGAATCTATCATAAGACCATTGCTTAAAATGATGTATCTTAGGAAGTCAACTTGAGTAGTATGAAATACACACTTTTCTATCTTAGTATATAATCTAGCATTTCTTAGTTTTTATAACTCATGAAAAATATAAAATTTATATTTTTTTATATTCTTCAAATAAATTAAGATTTCATCTAAATAATAGATAAAAAAATCATCAAGAAACTCAAAAAAATATCATTTATTAGATGTTGAAAAGCATCTGCTGCATTTGTGAGTCTAAAAGATATGACATAATATTCAAAATATCCATACGTGATTCAAAATATAATTTTTGATTTACCTCTTTTTTTAATGTATATGAAGTTATATACTTATTATAGATCTATTTTTATATATATCTTTTCTTGATTTAATTAATCAAAAAGTCTTGAAATCAAAGATAGAAGACATCTATTCTTGATGGTTATTTCATTGAGTCTTTAATAGTTCACAAATATCTAGAGAGATCCATCTTTTTTCTTCTTAAATAATTTAAGAGCCCTAACTAGAGATTTACTATATCATATGAAGTTCTTAGCCAAATTTTCATCAATATACTCCTTGAGTGTAGCTAATTTATCTTGTGATGAGCTATAAATTGGTTTGAATGGTAATTGAACTCTTTTTTGAAGATCAATAGAACAATCATAGGAACAATACGCTTGAAGAATATCTACATTTTTTTAAAATATCTTAATAATCTGAATATTGATTTGAAATACTACTTAAAATCATTTTTTTATAAAAAATAAATGAGATATATATAATAAAATTGAACCTTTCTTTTGCAATATGTATAAAAGCTTTTGTACTTATCAATAATGGTTTGGATGTGTTGGTCTTATAGATTTTTATTTGCTTAGTAAAATCTTAAAATAAACTGTAAAAAAAATCAAAGTTATGAAAAATTGAGTTTATTTAAAGATTATACTTTTTTAGCAACGATAATCTTAAAATAATTAGATGAAATGGAAATTTAATCACATTAAATATTACTAAACTATTATGACCACTAGTTGTTATATCTAAAGGAACAATTTCATATATAACATCTCCAAAAGATAATAAAAAAACCATCTATTTCTTATACATGCACAAGTTTGGTTTTTAAATTAAAAATATATCTTATTTTCTGATAAAGTCTTCATTTATAAAATAAATTGAGGTTCTTGAATCTAATAAGGCTAAGACTTTGTAATTTTTTGGTCTTAAAAAAACTTCAATTATAAAACAAGTTGAAGAATGTGAGGAGAGAATATAACCTTTATTAAATATTACATAAGATTTCAATCATATGGATCCTATTGTTATTAGAAAAACTCGTTTTTCAATACCTTGTCCTCTTTAGCAACCATACTCTTTATTTTTTAATTATATTATTTTTTTAAATAATATAGAATAATATTCTTATATTCTCTATAATATAAGCACAAACCTTCTTGATGACAACAAGTATTTTCTTGCTTAGTAAGAAGTTTAAAATATACCATGTCAATTTGCATAGGCTCTAGCCTAAACAAATAAGCTTTCAAAAACTTAGAAGGTATTGCTATAACATAATTTGTACTTATTCAATTAAATCTTTGTTTTTGGCATCTTTCAAAAAGTCAATTGTTGCATACAATAGCATGAGCAATAAATTTCTCTAATGAATGTATTCTTGGTATTATCAACAATAAATCTTTGACATTATCTTACATCTCATATTAAAACTAATTAATAACATCTTTGTTATTTCAATCCATATCGCAAGCAAGATTTTAGAATTTAATAGCATATATTGTGGCTAAAGATGATCCTTCTTATAGTAATACAAGCTTGATCTTTACTATCCTTTGTTGATCACCTTCTTCAAATATAGCCATAAATACTTTCTAGAATGAATTCAAATGATAGAGTAGTCATGAATCTTTTTTCATAATAGGTGCAAATTAAGAGAGAGCATTTTTAGATAGAAAGGCGCCTATAAATCCAACTTGAGTAAATTCATTAAGGTATTTGAAATTGTAACTTTAAATAGAACTTAACTTATTATAGATACTATTGAAATTTTGATTTTTTTCCATTAAACTTCTTTGGCATACTACTCCTTGCATCCCTTATGCTTGTAGAATTGAGACTTCTTAAATTTGATTGTGAGACTAATCTACTTGTTTTCTTTAATTACACAATTTCTTAGCATAGACTCTAGACTTCTTTTATAGGTATAGAAATAGTGCTTTTGTGGTTGGTATTGATGATATGTGAAATTTCTAGCCTAAAAGTATTAAGAAGCTCGTGAAGATCCGTGATAGTTGCAAACTTATTCTCATTTCTATGAAGTATAACATCCATGATTTTTTGTTTGATTTCAAACAACTTAGTAAATCCACAAATCAAATTGAAAGAAGGTAATCTACTATCTTATATCTTAAATAAAAATTTCTATAAAAAGAATAATTGCTTTCTTTAAAGAAATAATTAATATTAAAAAATTAAACTATTTGTTTAAAGATGGGTAGTTTGTAACTTTCAAAATACAACAATAGAAGTAAGTTAATTTATTCACTTCTGAAACAAGACAAAAACAATGAGATTGAACTATGATAACATTGTTGTATTGCTTTAAATAAATGTAGAATCATTTTAAATCTTAATAATTATATAGAATATTTTAAATAAGACATTCAATAACATGTATGTAGCAAATTCTAGTTATTACAACATAATATTTAAAAGAATTTTAAACTACTAGGAAAGTGCTTACAACATTTGATATCTTTAAATTTTGTAAATATATCAATTTTATAAAATAATGATAATTTTTATAAAAAATCAATGATGAAAATTGAAAATCAATTATATAAGTGTGTTTATTTCAAAGTATTGAACTATGATATCATAAATTAAATTAAAAATGCTATTTGGTTTAAGTTAGTGATTTACCTTAATAAATTGGTAATTTAGTTTTTGTTGCATTCAGTTAACAATAGAATATTATTAAGTTTTAATTCCTAATAAAATGATTGAAGATTTTACATGTTGCACAAGACATAATTTATTTGAATTTCTAATAGAGTCATCATAATTTTTTGATTTCTTGCAAAAAATCAAAACATTAATAAACACTATTCCTAAAAATAAATAGATAATTTTGTGATTATTTATGTAAAAGTCATCTTGTTGTACTCCAAAACCTTTGAAAATTGTATAAAATATTTTAGATATTGTGCTTTAAAAACCAAAGTATAAAGAATTATTTTAAAAAAAAATACATTAATTTAAAACAACAAATATCTGATTTCTTGAATAAAGATATTAATGACAACCACATCAATTTATATACAAAGAAAACAGAAAGCAATCAAATAATAGAAGTCCTTTTTCTACTTAAAGGAGACTTATTATTTCAGAGTAAGAAATTATTAGTTCTGGTCGATTTGATCTTTTTATGAGATCAAAATATTAATTCTTGATTTTTCAACAAATAATATACTCTAGAATTACCCTCCTTCCAATAAGAAATTATTTGTTGTTGGACATTTGTCAAGAACATGACAATGCCACTTAGGCATGTGTAAAACATGACAACACCACTTGAGCATGCTTAAATATCCAATTGGACAGAAAAAATCACACTCAACATTTTTTTTTTTTAAATATTTTAAAATCTAATATGTAATAAACTCAAAATAAATCTATCAATGTAACGCCATAGTAATTTAACAAGGTGAAATTATCTATAAACCAAGAAGAGACAACATAATTTTGGACATACTAAGTTGGCAAGTGGATTACTAAACAAAGAAATATCACTTTCTTCTCGAAATTACTAAATTAAGTCAATATAGTCAACAAAAAGGAGGTAAAATAAGGTCATTTGAACAATTTGGAGCCAGGTTCAATGTATAATAGAAAATTTGAACTAGGTTCAATACATGATGGTATTTTGGAATTAGGTTTAATGTATAAAAGTGATTTTGAAAAAGTGCGTAAAACTTTTTACTTTCTAAGCTTCTGGAATTTATATTAATAAAACCCACTTTCCATGCTCTTGGAACAATCAATTAAATCGCTACACCAAGCATGACACCGTTCCAGTGACTTGGCAATCCTTTTTTGCTTTATTAGGGCAGACGTCAGCACGCAAGGGCAGTGACGTAACGCCGATGGGGAACGTAGAAACTCGGGAACAAGTTCACCCTGGTATTCCCCGAGTGTTCCCGTCCTCTCCAGATGGACCACAAGGGAGGCTTAGATTTCGACGCTCTCGAGATTTCGAAGTCGTTCAGCTGCGTGGCGCATTTCCTTCGATGAAAACCCTAATTGAGGCTCGCAGTGGTGATGGATTGCATCGCAGGTAGGCAGTAGCTGTGAATTCTGCTCAAAAGGAACCAATTGGCGCCTGAAACTGTCGCAATTCGGCGGCGAGAGGCGATTCTCAATCTGAGGTGAAGGGTTCATGACTGAGGAATTTGGACGCAGTGGCTGGCTGGCTGGCTTGCTGCATGATTGCATCATCGCAGTTTTTAGTTTCGAATTCCTGTGGGTTTTTTCACATTCATATAATTTAGGGCTTTTCGTACATATAAATTAGGGTTTTTGTTACTTGGGTTTGACTGTTACATGCCAGAGGTTTGTTCTTTGGGACATCGACCGTTTTTCGTTCCGAGGGACTTGAAATCTTGAAACAAGGCGTATTGGGTTTGTGATTAGTTTAGGATTTTTACGAACTGTATGAATTGAATGTTCATATTGAGGTTTAGGGTTTTATGAACTCATTCGGAATTTACACTTGCAGAGCTTCAAAATGCCGGGGCGGAATGCGATCGTGGCATCCGGACTCGTGGCGTTTGCAACTGCGGGTCTCTTGTTCCCGCTTGTTTTAAGGTAATTATGCCAATATTGATTTTGTTTGGAATTGGTGATTTGCTCATATAAAACGAGTGCCTCGATGACACGTAATCAGCAGTTTCGCACAAGAAGGAGAGTGTGGTCTCAAAATATCTTGAAAAATATGAATATTTATATATATCACTAATATAGTTTTTGTATAATAAATTGATCCGAGCTCTTTTTACTATTTTTAACAATATCTATGGTAGAAAGCTCATTTTTCCTGATCGTAGAAAGAAAAACTTCACTACATCATGCAGTGTGTGCAGCCAATAAATTCTTATGTACTTGTCCTGAATACTGTTAAGTGCCGAGATATGCAGCTGCCTTTAGTTGTGAGAATGTTGTAATTACATGTTCTTAGAACTAAATTGTGAGAGAAACTTTTCTCCCCTTCTGCCACATTGCAGACTTCCGTTCCCACGTATGAGAATCTGGTTACCAATCTATTATGCATATCAGTAAAAACTGGCATTTTATTTGCAGCAAGATGCATTCAAAGCCCATTATCGACTCCAGTAAACCTCTGTCACCAGGAGCAATTATGAGGGGCCCTTATACTAACACCGGCTCTCGTGATGTTGGTCCTGACCCTACTCCTCGGAAGCTTAGTTAACTTTTTGTCTTTGTCAAAAAAACAGTTTAGTCGTTTGTTTACGTTGGGCTTGTACAAGATTACAACAGTTAGGATGCCAGCAACATCTTACACATGGTACGTAAGCTCGATTGGGCTCTGAGACAATAGTTATTGTTTCTATGATTTCATTTCAATTTATGATTTCTTAAAAAGCTGCTCTTTTGCGTCAGTTTATATCTGACGTCATGTGCACTCTGTATTGGATCATATATTTCATGTTTATGTCCAAATATTCAAGTCAAGCTCAAAATAGTGATATATTATGAATCAGAATATGATGCTTAACACAATTTACAAAATTAGTAGTCGAGATTGTAGAATCGCGTGGAGGATTGTTGGTGTTTGCTATACCTAACAGCGATGCCTTTTTTTGGGGTTTTAACTTTACAATAATTTAAATTACCATTGTGTCTATTGGATTGATGTTTTGGTCCACTTTCACTTTTCACCCCTATTGTATATCTCAGTGGAGTGTAGAGGGAGGTACTTGCATTATTACTGATGTTAACCTTGGCTGCTCGACACGCATCGTTTAGACTGGCCTACGTATTGATTATAAGAAGTTGTAAAAGCAACCTGCATCATTTATCATCGGTGAAGGGTTTTTATTTTAGATTTGTTTTTGGCTTGTTTGCTGAGCACTTGAGTGCTATGTCTTGATCAGTGTTCATGTCAAAACTTGTCAATTCATGTTTTAGTGACATGCTGGTCTACGCAAACTCTATTTTCATTATTGAAACAAACCTGAAGTATATTGTGTGTTGTATGATGGATTATATGTAGGTAGTGTAATGCCAATTGCACATCTGGAATTTGTGTTTTCTCAGAACTCGATTTAAGCAAAGACTGTTTATCACAATGTCAATGGTCAATTTTGTGAATGATAACATTTCGTTTAATGTATCTCTTCCTGTTAAGCTTGCATCAATGTGCAATTGAATCTAGTAGTAGAAAACGCAAATGTGTAATAACGTAAAATTGTTCAAATTCGATTTGACTTAACGATGTTTATTTTCAGTTTTGATATTATTTTTTGAAATTGTATATACGCATGCCATTCAAATGGTTGCTATGGAAAGTTTTTACACATGGCTTTCTGCCAATTTCCTTGGGTTATGTTCACATGTGAGAGATCTAATCTTGGACTGCCGAATTCGTAACCTGGCATCAAATTACAAAATCAAAAAGATATATATATATATATATACATATACATACATATTCATACATACATACTAACAATAAAAATTATAAAGTAAATTTAAAATCCCAATTTTTCTTTTCACAAAAATCACAAGTATGTCTCTGTAATCCTTGAGTATAACTCAAAAACAAAATAATATATTAATTTTACATGTTAATGTATATTTTTTTGTTTATACTTAAACTAAATCCAAATGTGTGCAGGGACAGAGGATGGATGACAAGCAAGCTGTGGGTTGCAACCGCAGCTGCCCGAGCCTGCAGAACAAACAAGAAATTCAAGATGCATCATAAAAGCACTAGATTTGTGTTGCATATAAAACAAAAAAAAGTAATGGAATCTAGAAGCTTTTGTCAAATTAGAGATAGCTTGTCATAATCAAGGATATTTTTGTTATTATCAAAATTTTGAGGGGTACATTTGCTATTATCAGGAATGTAGGGATATTCTTTATATTTCAACATATTTGAGGGGTGTAAATGATAATTTTTCAAAAAAATAATGACAAATGATTTTTTCTTTTATTGGCTTTACTTATAGAACTTTTCTAATAATTTTCTAAAAACCAACTATTTGATTCTTATTTTTTAATAGATAATAAAATTTTAAATTTAATTTAGTTTTTCTTTTCTTTTCTTTTCTTTTCAAAGCAAAGATTGAACAACTTAAAAATTTTAATTTTTGTAGATCAAGGTAAGAAACAAAAAATTGTCTTCTTTAAAGTTTCTAAAAACTAAAAAAAGAATATACAAGAAATTTTAGATAGAATTAATGCCTAATAGAGTTTGATATTTGGATCTTGGTTCTTTTATAGTATCTATATAAGTATATATTAAGATGTAATATATACTTATTTAGAATTTGTACACATCCTAAAACTTAACTTTTAAAATTTATTCTATAGATGTAAGAATAATTATTGCATTCAAGTGATACTATTGACACTTTTATTTGCAAAATGCCCTTGACTATGATGAATGCAAGAAGCTCAACTTGTATAAGATTGACTAGCTAAAAACAATGTTTTTGCCATTTGTGGCTTGAGATGAAATCTCTTTGGTTGTAATCAAGAATTACTTTTTTCACATCTAGTTCTCTGAGCATACAAGCAAAGTTACAAAAATCAATTTCATTGAAGAAATAGTTAAGAACTAAAGGATCACAAAAAATATCAAGCTTATATACTAATGCAAAGCCAATCAAGGTGAGGATACCATCAATTTGCTAGAAAGAGAGCCAACACCAACATCTTTTGTATGTCCAAAGAAACTTCAAGGACTTTTGTTTGTATCTATGCTAAATATTGCTAACCTAGGTGACTACATTATGCACAAGAGACTTTGCAATATTCAACATTAGTTACATACAAAAAATCTACAAAATAATACTCTTAATTCATGATTGAAATACTTACACATCATACTTTTTGCTTTTTTTTCTTTTACTTTTCCTTGCATCTTTCTTCCTCTCCATTAAATTATATTGTCTTGTCACAATTATAACTTATAATATAATAAAAATATAACTTAGGCACCATAGAACCATATTTGTTCTATTGTTTTTCCAAAACTTTGTAAAGCTTATTATTTAGTATGGATTAATTTAGTAGAAGTAATATTGTGTAATAAAAAATAATAAATATGAAGAATTGTAAGAATATTGAATTTTTGGCCTTTAGTATCATACTGTATAAAATATATTTTTTATTTATTTTATTTTATTTTTATATATAATTTTGAAGTTTGTAATTATATATATATATATATATATATATATATATTTTAAAATTTTTATAATCTCAATAATTTTAAAATATGAAATAATATTTTGAAACCTATATAATTTAATAGCATCATATAAAAGTTTCTAATGTATTACAATATTGTAAATCATATTAAATTTGGATATCTATTTACATAATAAAAAAATCCTATTGATAATCATTGGGTTGATTATATATATATATATATATATATACACACACATATATACACATATATAAAAATAATATTAGAAATATAATTATTTATGTCAAGATATGGTGTAAGATATAGTGCCACCATAAGTGTCACACTTGGATTCTAAGGCTAATAAGAGGACTTGAAGGGGGTCTTAAAGGTCTTTGACTTCCCTTTCAAGTCTTATGGTATTCAAAACTTCAAAACCCTGAGAAAACTTATATTTTTAAAATCAAACCTTCAGAGGAGGAGTTAATGTACTTTAGCTTCTCTTATTATAAAAAAATATACTTTTATAGTATAAATTCATAAATTGATTTTGTGTGCTTGCTGTGAAGTTTTTGTACTCTTTTTGAATTATTTTCTACAAATTATTATTTAAAAAAGATCTTATCCTATGTATGAATATAAGTGAGATAGAATTGTTTATAGTAGAATTTTATAATTTTTAAATATATTTAGACAAGGGTTTTTTGAGTCACTATAAGGATTAGTATGGCAATTTTAAAATCCTTTCACAATAGGCACTAGTGGCTGCGACATGGCTTAAGTCACATGTTAGGTGACCTAAGATCTATATCCATTGCTTTACTGGCATGGATTTGTCATTGGATTTCATTTTTGTGAGGTTAGACACACCACATGGCTGTATTGCCAATAGAAAGATGAGGTAAATTTATAATAATTCTTTTAATTTTCTTCATCTTTGACAAATCAGGCCTCATTCTTTCTTAATTTTCTTCCAATTGTTAGTACTTCTTACAATCAATCAATATCATTTAGAAGTATTCTCTATTGTTTGTAGATTCTATAGAAATTATCTATAATGCATTATGAAAAAAATTGCTTTTAATTTTATTCATCAAATATGCGTACATGTTTACGTTAAGATTTATGATTATAATATTGAATCTTTCACTATTTGGAAGTTGGTGTGATGGTTATGTCTTTGAAAGCAATATGTAAAAGGTGTTTTGGGATTACATAAAATTAACATCTAAAATTTAATATTTTAGATTTTATACTTTGTGATTTTATTTATTTATTTATTTTTATTTTTTCATAACCATTAACTCATTTATTTATAAAAATCAGTCTCCACATTTCTATTGCAACTAAAAAATATGAAAAAATTAAAGAAAATCATAAAATTCATTATTTACTTCAAGATGTAAATAATTTCAATAAGAATGTTATCAACTAATCATGTTACTATTGTAAATTAAATTTACATAAATTATTGATATTATATTTAAAGAATAAATATTTTTTAAATTAAAATTTTTAATTGTAAATATTCTGAATGTGTCCACAACATGATAATGTTGTTGTAGGAAAAAAATTGAATGGTGAAAACTAAATCTTTCAATACCAAAGCAGTCATTAACTACCAATTGTAAATTTGATTATGCACATGATTAATGTACTAAATACATGTGTTTTCTTTTCTTTTCTTTTAATTCTTTATAGTTTCAATGTTGAAACATATGAGACAAGTTTCATAGATATCAACTTACTTACATTTAGTATGTTTTTTTTAATAAGTCAAAAATCTCAGAAGTATGACTATTACATATAACTTAGCCTAAATTGATACTATTGAAACTTAAAATTTTTAGTACAATTTTGAGATTTATCATAGGTGAAAAAAAAATTATTAATTATTTGATCTTCTGATCTTAATGGAACATGTCCTAGTCATTACCTTGTGTTCTTCACCAATCACATTATTTATGTTTTTTATTTTTATTTTCTACACTAGTTTACTTACTTGACCTGAAAAATATATGTTTTTGTATTACTCTTCCAAACTAAAGTTATTTTGATTAGTATGTTTAATATTACTAAAGTGTTATATTTTCAGTCCAACAATTAACTCCATAGCATGATTTAATGCAAACACATCAACATCAAGGAGCTTAATTGTCTAGCACTAGTTTTTGTCAAGAAAAGAACTCCTTGGTGCCAAAATTACCATATAAAGTTGATATTTATGCACTTTTGACCAAAATATTTGTTGATTGTTTGTTTCTAGTATAAAAACCAAATTGTCAATTTTTTTCTCTATACCAATCATATT